AAGTATATTTTCTTTCTTTGCACCCCTAGACCAAAACAAGCAGTTAACCCTTCCAGTGCAGGGGTTTACTTTTGAAAATCCTGGTGTTCCTCTCTAAGTAGTTTAGGAGTATTTGTCCTGTAACCTGGTACACAGCACTGATTATGAGCAACTGGAATACCTTATGATTCTTTCATTCAGTGACCTGGAATAAAGTGCCCAGTTTACAATAAACTACAGCACTTTTCTTGAGAATTCTTATTAAGTGGTGTGCCCTTTAACAGATAAAAAATAATTATGACCTGTATTTAAAAAATGAAATCATTATTCTTGGCTCCAACTTTTTCTTTAAGCAATTTTCATCAAACAAGTGGCCTACCAAGCCACCCATGGCTCTCGGTTTCCAATGATGTGCTTTGACAGTGTCTCTGAGCAGATGCTAGGTACTTGTCTTATCTGAACAACTTGTAAGATATATACTTCTGATAAATACAAAGCCTCAGTAAGTTATCGATTTTATTGGTGTCATTTTTATCATTTAGGAAAAATTTTTGAGTATTGTTTGTAATGCATGTGTTTTACATGTTGACGCTATTGTTTAAAGTAGGGATGTTCAGATACCAGTGCCGATACTTGGCATTTTCATGAGAACTACCAGGGTTGCAGCGGTTGCAGCTGGGACCGGGCTCTGGTGCTCCACCACTGTCCTGAAATCATTAGTCTGTATTGTTTTACAAAAACTGTCACATGACAACAAACATGTATCAGTACTCGTACTTGGACAAATATCAGTACTCGTACTTGGACAAATATCAGTACTTGTACTTGGAAAACTGGTATCGGTGCGTCACTTATATATATTTATAACAAAAAGAATCATACATGAAAACGGAGATGTACAAATCCCAGGAGCTCTGTGTGCTCCTTACAAATGACAACTGCCTCCTAACTTTTGAATTTTCCTCTAGTCTAGTACAGTACTGTGTACTGCCAGAGATCTCTAACCTTCCCTGAGGGGATCACTATGGGAATCACACTGTCTTGCTATCAGCTGAGCTCTGGCAGCCATGGGGGGGTGGACGCAAGTGTCCATACTAAGGGCACTAGTTGCCATACTGAATATGTGAAGTGTCAACAGCTAGGGGCAGGCACCAGTGGCCATTTTAGTGATAGACGAGCACTGGAGGCCCTATTTATGAATGGGCAGGTGCCACCTGATGTCATACCTAGTGGCCTCCCACTTTTGGGATGCAGGGCAGTTTACTGTTGGCAGAGAGGAGACCTTTAGTAAGAGGTAAGGCTTTCTCTACTGTTAATCGGGCTGATCAGCCTTTATTATATTTCAGTTTTCCCCGGCCGGGCCCTGTCTTGCAACCTGCCATGACTGTCATGGCTAGTTAGTCAAACTTTAAGGGTTGGGTTAGCCTCCTGAGACCAGGGATGTCCAAACTGCAGTCCTACTGCTGTGGTGGAACTACGAATCCCATGAGGCTTTGCAAGATTCTCACAACCACAGACATGCCTCCTGGAGAGCGATGCTTCATGGGATTTGTAGTTTCACCACAGCTGGAGGGCCGGAGTTTGGACATACCTGACTTAGACCCTACTCTACTTGGAGTGCTTGGCCAGCAGGCCTGTACTGTTGCATAGATGAGTTAGTGGACATGTCTGTTTTAACTTCTGTATGAGCTCTTGATCAGTAAACATATGAGGGACAGCATCTTGTTGGAACTGCCTAGGACACCGTCATCAATTATGTTGCTTGGGGTAGGAGTACTTTTCTACCACAGCAAAGGAAACCTGGGTTTCTAGTTGGGAAGTATGTACCCCCTTTTCTGAGGCCCAGAAGCGTTCTTTTCATTACTTAGTTTTCAGCCTCTAAATCCCCCCAGCCTGTGGACAATTCATCCTTTGCTTGGAGGGAGGGGGTTGTCTGTTAACCTTTGTAGACATCTGTTTTTCTGGGGCTACTACCTTGAATTTTTTTCTCTGGTCCATTATTTTTGAGAATAAAAAAATACCTTGTGCCTGGCATCGATAAACAGCTGCTGCCAAACCTGATATTTAAACCCTAGGCAAAGTTTGCATGATTACATGATACAATGAGTATGGTGGCTTTCCCATTATTAGAGACTAAGGTTGATTTGAAAGTGAAATAAAAGGAGCAATTAGGCACAACTAGGGCTGCTGCTAACGATTATTTGTAAAATTGATTAGTTAGGCGATTATTAAGTTCGATTCATCGTATTAAAAAAAGGCTCCAGTGATGGACTTCTAGTTTGTATTGAGATTACAGTCCATCACGGGAGCAAGTTTGGAGCCGTGGAAGTAAAAAAAAAGTGTGGTGTGCAATATAGTGAAATGAAAAGTGTAAAATTATACAGCAATGAATACAACAATCCCAGCAATAGTACATTATAGCAGGAGGTATAATGCATTGCGCTGTATAATGCATTTGCTGGGATTTGTTGTATTCCTCTATAGCTGGTGGTATTCTGCGTGCATTGCGCCTCTGTATAATGAATATACAGCGCAATGCAGAATATACCACCAGCTATAGAGGAATACAACACATCCTGGCAATAATACATTAAACATGTAGTGTATAATGTATTGCTGGGATTTGTATTCCTCTATAGCTGATGGATCATATACAGCACAATGTACCATCAGCTATAGAGAATACAACAGTTCCCACTATCCCAGCAATACATTTAAAAAAACAATCGCCATGTGGGAGGGAAGCAGGCACTCTTACTTTTAGATGTGAGATGGTTGGCCTGTCAGGTGCCGTTCCCTCTCGATCGTTGGCGGGCAGCGGCGAGTCAGGGAGCTCAGAGCGGGGAGAAGAGGCGTGTCGTGCGGCGCACGGCTCGGGTCGTGTGTGGAGCCGCGAGCAGAGTAACTGATCAATAGCCGACTAATTGATGATGGAAAACGTTGACAATGTTTTCCATCGTCGATTTTAATCGGCTCTAACGATTAGTTGTTGCAGCTCTGGGCACAACATTGTAAAGTACTGCTAAGCAGAAGGCAGAACCTTTATACAGCTGCTCGCTCACTTCCCGATTATTTACCTGCAGAGAGTGGTGGCTGTCACTCACCATTCCCCGTATTGGAGGTATGGACAAGGGAGAGGCGGGCATAGCTGCTTGTGCCTCTAGATAGGCAGAGCTTGCTGTCAATCAGCCAGTGGGATGGATCTCGACAGTATTGTCGGGATCCGTCCCGGCTGCAGTACTCTCAGCATATAGCATATATCTCCTGTGACCCTAAAGAGAACTATGGGGAAAAAAGTTACCCCATAGTTCTCCCCCACTGCTGACACAGAAACATAAAAAAGCCAGATTGGAGTTTGCCAAAAATTACCTGAGGAATCCAAAATCCTTTTGTGAGAATGTGCTGTGGACAGACAAAACAAAATACAGCTTTTTGGTAAAGCCCATCCTCCGGTTTTATAAAAAGAAAGGAGGCCTTTAAAGAAAAAAATACAGTCCCTACAGTCAAATATGGTGGAGGCTCAATGTTTTGGGGTTGCTTTGCTGCTTCAGGCACTGGATGCCTTGACTGTGTGCATGACATTATGAAATCTGAAGACTACCAAAGAATTCTGGGGTGCAATGTATGGCCCATTGTCAGAAAGTTGGGTCATCGTCAGAGGTCATGGGTCTTACAGCAGGACAATGACCAAAAGCACCAAGAAATGGTTTCAGACAAAGCGCTGGAGAGTACTGGATTGGCCAGCAATGGGTCCAGATCTAAATCCCATAGAGCACCTGTGGAGAGATCTCAAAACAGCAGTTGGGAAAAGGAACCCTTCCAATCTGAGAGACCTGGAGCAGTTGGCGAAAGAAGAGTGGTCCAAAATTCCTGTAGAGAGGTGCAAGAAACTCATTGATGGTTACAGGAATCGGATGATTTCAGTTATTATTTCCAAGGGCTGTGCTACCAAATATTAATCGAGGGTGCCAATAATTTTGTCCAGTCCATTTTTGGAGTTTTGCGTGGAATGTGTCAGATTTGGCTTTTTTTTTTTCTTCTCCACTTTTTTGTGTCAAACCAATACAAAAAAAGAAATAAACATGAGAATGTCTAAACATTTGTAATTGCAACAATTTTCTGCACAAAATGGTGCATTATCTGACAGAAATGCAGGGGTGCCATTATTTGTGGCCATGACTGTGCATGTGTGTGTGTATATATACTTTAAAATAGTCAAACAGTCTTATAATATAAAAAAATATGCAACACATGGTGGCTCTATTAAGCCTTTTGTACTAGTTTCTTACATCCTTTTTCTTGCAGAGGTAAAACATGCACAATGGGTTAAAAATAGCGGAAACAGCACATGAATGCCAATCAATACACCCATCACACAGCAGGTTCTTCTTTACCACACGGTTAAAGCTGTAACACCAAATCAATAGAACTGATCATGGATTAGGTTGCTGCAGTGTTTACCTTTTAAATTCTGGTACGGGTCATCTGGGTTCTTTTATTGAATTTCTAAAAGGATAGAGTAAAAACTCGGGCTTATTGATTTTAGGATTTTGAATAGCCCCTCGTCTCTCTTAGGCTTTACTCCTCAAGTTGTCATGTAAAGTATCACCACTCATATGTCGCACTAAATATGATCCTGCAAAGTTATAGGCCCAACTTAAACCAAGACAGGCTTGGTGTCTGCCACTGCTAGTGTTGTGTCTCTAATACCCCCTGCTACCTGTCTGAGCAGCCATCTTCCTTAGGATTTAGCCGTGGCTCATAGATTAGGACCTTAAACTGTTACAAATCTCTTTTCTGACATGTTTGGCTGCTGAGTGGCATGGCAGATATAAATAGGACATTAGCACAGAAGTTGCTGCTCCAAATCGTACTCTGGTTGTTTAGCTTTGAGGCAGATTTCAGCCACTGCATGATATTCATCTATGTTTTTTTCCTCCCTCTGCTCTATGTCTATGCATGCATGTGTGTGTGTGTGTGTTGTGCCTGTGTAAAGTAGAAGCTGGTTCTGGATAATCAAAATGAACTACTGCATTCAAGAAATGTACGATATGCCCCAGCCTGCTGTTAACACCTACTGCATGCAGCCCACTGAATATTGCACTTATATCGAAGATAGTCAGAACTACAGTTCTTGTGAGGCTCATGTCCTGCACAGCAATAATATATATATGGATCAGGCCTGGGCGGTGAATCAGGCTTATACCTCTAGTTACCCTGGAAACATGTTTAAAAGCGAGTACTCAGAAATGGACATGGCCCTGAATTCATACAACCAACCAGGGTATTTCTCTGAGGAAAAAGCAACTTTTCCAGAAGGACAGTCTCCGATGTTCTCACAGAAAAAAGGTAGGGACAGGTCTGCTTTTTTTTTTTACATTCCATAAAGGGACCCATTCACATCATTGTCTCTGCACTATCACATCCATCATCTGCGTTGCATTCAGATTTAAAGTTGCATAGTTTTAGCACCCGTCCATCCTTTCAAAGCTCATCTGTAATCAGCTGAAAGCCGTATTTCAGGTTGCTAGGAGATTAAAATGTTTTTATTTCTCTTGATGTTCAGAATTTTCTTATTGTCCTTTGTGCTTGAATTATGGATTTATTGTCTGCTGTATGTGCTGTGAGCACATTTCTGCGTCTTACAGCCCCTTTCTCTATATACATTATATGTGTGATCTTCGATCAGTTGCATATAGTACCTGTCGCATCCAAATGCTTTATGTAAAACCTTTAGATATAAAGTTTTTACTCTTTAACTTCTGGATTAATCCTGGACTGAAATTTACTGAAAGGTACAGATAGTCATAGATTTCTATTTTTTTTGTTACATTTAAAAATATTTGCTTATATTTTAGCCTGTTTAGTGTGACTTTTTATTGTTATCCAATCTCTGTTAATGTCACATTATTCAATGAACAATAGATATAGATCTATATCTATATATATAGATATAGATTTTAGATCTATATCTATATACATATAGATATAGATTTTAGATCTATATCTATATAGATAGATATAGATAGATACACATTCATACATACATATATCAAGTAGGCACTTTTTCAAGATTTTAAATGTGGCTGATTTACAGTTAAACTGTATTACATATAATGTTTTTCTCACATTTTCCTGATGGACTTTACATTTTTAGCATTCCAGAATATTATGTGGATATCCTATGGATTTAATGCAGACGATCTTTAGTCCCAGAGAACTTTATGACTAGACAACTTAAGTGCAAACGTCTTATCACAGTGACTCATAGATTTAACTAGTGAAGTAGCTTGACTAGCATACATAATCGAAGTCTTTTCATTCTTCTTAAAAACATGACCGCTTTATTTAGAGAGCTCAAAATATACAATATAAAAGAATATACAATTTTCTACAGGGACTTTGGAGATATTTTTGCTATTATCATCTCATCTTTACAATTAAGTTTGAAAGTTGGGGTTTATTTCCTCAAGTATTACTCTTTATTTTAACCTTTGTGATTTTATGTGCCAAATAATATTTTGTCATGTATTATTATACTATCATTGTAGTGAGTTAGGATTTATATTTTCTGCCAGTGTGTATTCCCAGGGAAGCTAATAAAGTTAGTTTTAGTAAGCTGACCTATATAGTTTTTGGTTAAAATAAATTATAATATGAACAATAGCACTGTGCATAAACAAACATAAACATAAAATATTACTGTTTTTAGATGTTTATATCTTTCGTTATGTTAAGAAAAAATTTAGTTGTTTATTAATGTTATGTAAAAAAACAATTACATAGAAAGAATCTACTACAATCTAGAACTACTGTCACTATGAATGTAATATTCTATTGCTAGCTTAAATGTAAAAATTACATAGTGATTATATATATATATATATATACTGCAGAACTACAGTATTGTCATTTATTTTTTTTATAGATTTTTCTTCATAGTAATGACAGTTTATAGTAAATTAACTATTTTTTTTTTTTTAGTTTAAATATATGTTTAATGTAGAATCAACAATATTGAGCTTTCTACTAGGATCAATTAATCCAGAGGTGATGACAGAAGGTTACTCAAAGGACATGCTTGTTCCTATTGATCAGCATTGATTTGGATTTAATGAAGTCTCTATAGTAACTCATTAAAAGCCAAGAGAGCAGGTGTCCTCTTTCAACCTTTCTTGTTGTATTTATGTTCAAATTAGTACAAAGGGAAAACGCTTGTTATTTGATTTTGCCTTTCTATCTACACATGAATTGGATGTTTAACGTGAACACTGGTTCTCTTCAGTGTAATTTAAGTATATTGTGGTTCATTTATTAAATTGAACACAGTCAACACATAAGGCTTAATTTACAAAAAGTTTTGAAGCGGGCATCCCCCACTAACTATACCTGACTACATTAATGCAATCTCTTTAGTAAAACTAGTAAAGGTATTATTAGTGACTTCTTGAACTGTTTCCCCAGTCTGTCCACCCCCTCACAAGTCAAAAGTCCTCCCATTTAAAAAAATAAATACATTTGAGGTCAGCTTCTTCTTCCTTATTTTCTGTTGG